ACTTTGCCGGCCCCCCCGATAAACCCCTGGCAGCCCGGCGGTCGCGTGCTCCTCCTGGCACAGCCAGGCTCCGCATCCCGCATCCGCATCCCTCCTGTCGCCCCTTTCAGATCAAGCTGAAGGAGATCTTCGAGACGCCCTCCGAGATCGCGCTCGTGCTGGAGCTGGTGACGGGAGGAGAGCTCTTCGACAGGTACGCCCGACCCCGCGATCCCCATCCCGGCTCCTACCGAGGAGGGACAAATCTCACCTCGGTGGTGGTGGGAGGATGAGGATGGAGGGGGCTGATGCACGCCATGGTTGGGGGATGGAGGGTGAGGGGGGTCCATGGGGGGCAGGGCGCTGCCGCGCTGACCCCGTGTGCCCGCAGGATCGTGGAGCGGGGTTTCTACAGCGAGCGGGATGCGGCCCACGTCGTCAAGCAGATCCTGGAAGCCGTTTCGGTAACGTGCCCGCTGCGTGTGTGTCATCCCCCCCCCCAGCCCCTGGGGATGGCCTGGCGAGGAGGTCCCTGCGTGGTTCAGGGGTGTCGCTGCGGGGGCTGCACCCTCCCAGGGGTGTCGCTGCGGAGGCTGCACCCTCCCAAATATCCCTGGGGAGAGGCATCGAGAGCTGCGCCATCCCAAATACCCCTGGGGAGAGGCATCGAGAGCTGCGCCATCCCAAATATCCCTGGGGAGAGGCGTTTGCCCACTCGCCCTTGGCCCTCCGAAGGCATTGCTGGCGGAGGCGCCTCTTCTGATCCGCGTTTGGGGGGGATGAAGGAGAGGAGGGAGGAAGGTCAGCGTTGCTCTGCATCACAGGTCGGCTGGAGATGGGGTTTCTGTGGCAACGGGAGGGTTTAAAAATGGAAACTCATAACGGGAAGTGTCCTCACCGTGCCCCCGCGGCCGTGCCGGCAGCTCCGGCACCACAGGTGTTAGGGGTTTCCAAAGGAATAGTTGGACGAGTTGGTCCCGTGTTTGTGCCGGGTCCCGGATCGCTGCCGCCTCCTCCCAAATTCTGTCCGAGGCAGACGGGGCTTCCCTGTCCCTTCCCTTCCTTCCCGCATCCCTGCCCTCTCTCTCTCTGTAGTATTTGCACGAAAACGGAGTCGTCCACCGCGACCTGAAGCCGGAGAACCTGCTCTACGCAGACCTGTCCCCCGACGCTCCCCTTAAAATCGGTGGGTCTGCCGGGGGCCCCGGGGGGGGTTTCGTGGCACGAGGGGGGTTAATGGTGCCTCTCCCTGACGGCAGCGCCACTTCCCTCTGTGTCCCTCCAAGGTGACTTCGGGCTCTCCAAGATCGTGGATGAACAGGACACCATGAAAACCGTCTGCGGGACGCCGGGGTACTGCGGTGAGCGGGAGGGAAGAGCTGGGGGGGGCGGGAGGGAGACCCGGGCAGGCTGCTCCCTGCCTGAGGCCGCGCACAGCTCAGTGCAGGGATGGCAGACGGCTGCGCCGGGCTCGGGAGGCGCTGCCGGTACCCAGGAGGTGTTTCCTCCACCGTGAGGTTCCCACCGTGGCCGCGCTGCCAGGAGGCCCCCCACACCCGTGCGTTTGAACCCCAAACTCTGCTTCCAGCCCCCGAAATCCTTCACGGGTGCCCGTACGGCCCTGAAGTGGATATGTGGTCCGTGGGCGTCATCACCTACATCCTGTGAGTAACGCTGCCGGGGCCCCGCGGGCGGCGATGTGGTCTGTGGTCCGTGGGCGTCATCACCTACATCCTGTGAGTAACGCTGCCGGGGGGCGGCGAAACCGCCGCGGGTAGACAGGTTTGTCCACCTCTGCCCACCGCAGCAGCCGGCGGTTTGCTCCACCTCGGCCCACCGCGAGCAGCTGGCAAACACCGGCACGGCTGCGCCGCGGGGCCCGGGCGGCGGCATGTAGCTCCTCTCTCCCGTGCTCGCAGGCTCTGTGGCTTCGAGCCTTTTTTCGACCCGCGCGGGGACCAGTACATGTACAGCCGCATCCTCACCTGCGACTACGAGTTCGTGTCCCCGTGGTGGGACGAGGTTTCCCTCAACGCCAAGGACTTGGTGAGCGAGCCAGCACCGGGGCTCGGGGCTGCCGAGTATGAAGCCTTCAGATCAATGCTTGTACAGATAACAAAACTAGGTGCATTTAACAAATGAAGCCCTTTCGTGTGTCCGAAATTGGCTACAGGTCAGAAAATTGATCGTTCTGGACCCCCAGAAGAGACTGACCGTCTACCAGGCTCTGGAGCATCCCTGGGTCACCGGGAAAGCCGCTAAATTTGCTCACATGGACAGCACGCAGAAGAAACTGCAGGAATTTAACGCCAGGCGGAAACTGAAGGTAAGGTGAAAAAGCCCCGTTAACCCCCGGGGGTGGCTCGTGTTCACGTCCCCTCGTGCAAATGGCTGGGGCCACCGAGAGCCGCCGTCGCTGGGTTTTAAGGATCCCCTGCCCCGAGCAGATAAATGTTCAGCGACACGTGGCAGCTCAGGGGGCTGGCTCGGGGAGGGGAGTGAAGGACGATGGAGCCGCTCCCTGCGCAGCTGCGTCCCCGGGGAGCGGCAG